CATATCAATATCAATATCAATATCAATATCAATATCAATATCAATATCAATATCAATATCAATATCAATATCAATATCAATATCAATATCAATATCAATATCAATATCAATATCAATATCAATATCAATATCAATATCAATATCAATATCAATATCAATATCAATATCAATATCAATATCAATATCAATATCAATATCAATATCAATATCAATATCAATATCAATATCAATATCAATATCAATATCAATATCAATATCAATATCAATATCAATATCAATATCAATATCAATATCAATATCAATATCAATATCAATATCAATATCAATATCAATATCAATATCAATATCAATATCAATATCAATATCAATATCAATATCAATATCAATATCAATATCAATATCAATATCAATATCAATATCAATATCAATATCAATACAATATCAATATCAATATCATATCAATATCAATATCAATATCAATATCAATATCAATATCAATATCAATATCAATATCAATATCAATATCAATATCAATATCAATATCAATATCAATATCAATATCAATATCAATATCAATATCAATATCAATATCAATATCAATATCAATATCATATCAATATCAATATCAATATCAATATCAATATCAATATCAATATCAATATCAATATCAATATCAATATCAATATCAATATCAATATCAATATCAATATCAATATCAATATCAATATCAATATCAATATCAATATCAATATCAATATCAATATCAATATCAATATCAATATCAATATCAATATCAATATCAATATCAATATCATATCAATATCAATATCAATATCAATATCAATATCAATATCAATATCAATATCAAATCAATATCAATATCAATATCAATATCAATATCAATATCAATATCAATATCAATATCAATATCAATATCAATATCAATATCAATATCAATATCAATATCAATATCAATATCAATATCAATATCAATATCAATATCAATATCAATATCAATATCAATATCAATATCAATATCAATATCAATATCAATATCAATATCAATATCAATATCAATATCAATATCAATATCAATATCAATATCAATATCAATATCAATATCAATATCAATATCAATATCAATATCAATATCAATATCAATATCAATATCTATATCTATATCTAAGTATAATCTATATTTGTCAACCCTTAATTTTTGCATGAATAATTTTCCTACAACTATAACCGGAGAAAGACAACCTGAAGGCCCATAATTCCTTGCAAGCGTGGATAAAATTTGCATTTCATTTGTTTTTTGAGCCCTCACAACTGACATTAATTTTAAACTCGTCTTTCAAAGCTTCCCACTGTAGTTCCAAGGTTTAAATAGACTCATTTTATTCAATTGCTTTTACTTCAATTTCCTCTGTATTTTCTACATGTTCTATAATCACTGGGTTATTTGCAATCCATTTTCTCAAATTAAAACAATCTTCCGCCAGCTTCAAAAAAATATCTTTTGTTTTTCTGATTTGTTTCCCCAATAATGTTATTTTTGCAATTATTTGCGACCTTAACCAGCAGTCTTGGTGCTTAGTATGGGGTGATGCGGTTCCGTATGTAACCATTGTGAGCTTGTAGTTATAATCTGTTGATTTGCAGTCTCTCTTTTTTTATACCCTGAACCCATTAAAAATGGGTTTAAGGGTATATTGTATATGTGTGAAATTCAAATGTAACAATGTATGTAACAGGCAGAAGGAAGCATCTCCGACCCCATAAAATATATATATTCTTGATCAGCATCAATAGCCGAGTCGATCTAGCCATGTCCGTATGAACGCAAGGATCTCAGAGCTATAAGAGCTAGAGACTTGAAATTTGAGATGTAGGTGCTCCTAGTTCCCGCTCAGATCGAGTTTATTTCCGATAATCGATAACTTACTCCGTTTCCAAGAAATCGATAAAAATCGAAATCGATATCCTGTTTTTTGGGCGATTTTGGTATATAATAAGAGCTAGAGTAACCAAACTTGACATATAGCTTCTAAAATAAAATATATATATGCATTTGATGTTGAAGGAAGAGGGTTCAGTGTATCCCCTAGTCGGGAGCTCCCGACTAGAAACTCTAACGTGTTTTATCTGCATTGATGGCAAACTGCCACAACTTTTAAAACGCCTTTCTTTTTGGGCCAGAAACCAGAGTTCCCACCCACATCATTTCATTCAAACCTTTGTGGTTCATGGCTTTTGCGGATGCATCGATAACTACTGGATGTGGGACTAGAGTCTCTTAACACTGCCTTATGCGGTATATAATACTTTCCGTTTCGCTGGACTGGATGATAAGCCCTAGGCCAATACACTCTTTTAAGAAATTGATTTAACCCTTCTTCAGCTGTGTATTTCATTTGAATTGTTTTTTAAGTTTAGGAACCGTGTCACCGCTTGTGGTCTTGATTCTCCTAACTCATTTTCTTTCTTAAACGGAATATTGATTCAATACAAATGTTCTCGTAGATTTTAGTTTTTACATCTTTTTTATCCTCATCTTCTGTCTCCCAAATCTCGTCAATTCTTTAACCTCAATGGTTAACGCGACTATGTTTTCCTCTTCTTTGGATTCCGTGCACCCAGACACTATCCACCCGAATTCTGTGTTCTGGCCGAGAAGCCCGTCGATTTTTGTTACTGCATTTTTAAAATGTTTGTATACATGTCGGCTCCAAACAATATATCTACTCTACATTTTTTTTAAATTGCGGATCAACTAATCTATATTATGTGCATTTACTTTTATTTGTTTATAGAAACACATGCACACATACGTTGACCTAAAGTCAACACCACAAATTTTTGTGCTCGCCCTTCATCTAGGTAAGTTTAGTATCTGGGCTGCCTTTTTAGTTAATGCCCGCAATTTTCGTATTCGCCAGTAGAGAAAATGACAATTGTTGTCGCTAATAGCGCTTGCCTTTCAGCCACGCATGTGTTCAATCTTTCTCTTCTAACAAAATAACGCTTTGTGTGGTGGGATGGGGTGCCACACTCCTAACATAGTTGGTAACGAACGTGTAACGTTCGTGATGGCATTCTACATCTTGAGCTAAGGCTAAAGCGATAGGAAAACCTTCTGTCTTGCTGAAAAAAACACTTTGCTAAACGATTTCTTAGTTCCCGAAATAAATATAGGTAAACCGTCTATGCTATGATTTTGTCGTGGATTAAAATCGTTTTGCTGGTTCGTATGGTAAGCTTTTTCTACTTTGTCTTATTGCAGAGTTTCCATATTTCTTTGCACGACAATCGACATTTCTTGTCAACTAACCATATGTAACGCTTGAACGCATTTGTGACGTATAGCTATTTTGATTTTGTTTCTCATTGCATCTAATGTTAATAATGTTTTGAATGAGACGTAATTAACATATTTTCCTTCGAAGGTTGGCAACGATTTTACAATATTTAATGTTTCGTTTTACGGAACAGTTATTCGAATTTCTGCATCATTATATGTTTCTACTTCTGAGTTCCGATATTGATACCGTCTAAACGTTAGTTTAAACATTGTATTTGTACTACGAAATTCTTTTTCGAGCGGTTTTTATTAATGTCCGAAATTTTTCTTGGGACATTATCTTAGTTAATTTATGTTGTTCCACGTCTAACACTTTGTACTGATTACATTATTTACTGCAGAATTCTGGACATTTTTCGAGCAAGTCATCGTTTACTTACTATTATTCTGCCGGTTCTTTTGGTGACGACGTTTCAGTTTAATTTCAATCGGCTGAACAATTTGCAGCTCATCACATATCTCCAAAAGTATTTTGGGCGGAGAATATTTAACGCTTCTTCAACAGCGCTCCAAATAGCGTAATCCTCAGCCAAGGCTCTTAATTAGTTGTGTCGCCCTTGTAAAGGACGAGAATTTACCAACGCTAAAGTGGCCACTAAGAGCTAGAGCTGATTACGCGGTCCGGTAGGTTATCCAGAGTCGCTGTGCTTCAGACTGCGACTGGAGTCATACGCAGAGCCGTACGAAAGCTGTGTTTGCTGCCCAAACGGGCTGATGTTGAAAGCCCTTGCTTTTCAACGGGGGGAGAATATTTGGTCAAGTAACCAACAGAGGTTACACCAAAGGCTGCATATAGTTATCAACATCAGAATCGTAATTACAGCCTAAGAGAAAATGTTTGCGCGCTCTTTGTAATCTGCTTTTTATTTTGCTGCACACAAGTATTGGGAATTAATTAGTTGCAACTCTTGCAGTCTGTCAAAGTCTTGCAACTACTATTAAAGGGCACTGTTATTCGTTGCTCATATGCGCATATTTAGCAGCGACAAGTGTCTCATGTAATCAATTTAACCTTTAGCTGCTTTCGAGCTCTGACACTGGTTAGAAACAGTAAAGTAAAAGGAAAAGAAATTTGCCGAAAAGATAGTCGCGGGCAATCCAGATAATCAATAAAATATCGTTTCGCCAATGTACAGATTCTCTATACTCGGTCTTTGAAAGGGCCAGAGTTGACGCCGATTGAACAGCAGATTTGTTCAAAGTACTATTTAAACTATGGTTTAATGAACCATTCGTCAATACCTCTTCATCGAAGGTAAGGAGAAATACACCGTAACTCAAGTATGTAGGTGTTGAGCACACGCCACATGTGTTTTTTCTGAAGAAAGTTGTTAAAACCTAGATTTTTTTTAACGTTATTTAATAGAACCTTGAGTTGGAAAACTTCCATGAAGTCACTAATGGTTATGTTCGTAAGCCGCTTCCTGATTATGGTTTGTTAGTCATTAGATTTTAAAATTCTAATTTATAATCTTTGTCGGTGTTCCGAAATCAAAGTTACATTTTTTAACAGTAATGTTTGGCATAGGTGTTTGTATTAATTGAGCTTTTTTTTAATATTTACTATGAACTACCCTCTACTAAGGGTAATTATGTTTAACCACCCTGTAAACTGTTTAACTGTTTAATTATGTTTCAGAGGTGTACGGGCAAGGACTGGAAATGTCCGCCAATGTACTTACATTCTTGTCAAACTCTATGGTCGCCAAATCATTTAGTGCAAGGATAGCGCATTTTATAACTTCTGAGATCCTTACCAACTTACTACGGCATGAAATTATGCATTTATCATCCCCATCTGAGAGAAGTTTTAACATATTCTTATGCGCGATTAAATAAAAAAACTCATAAATCATTCAAGTTTATATAGGTGGTTACCATGATATTTTTATTCCCTGGTTAATATACATATTTATATATTGTAGTTTATTACATTTCCTACATTCAAATAAATGTAATAATAAAAGCAAACTTGACCTAACTCCTACATCTTAATCTTTGTTCATTTTAACAATTCCTTAGTGTTGTGTATCCAGTCGAACTATATCAAGGAAGGAATGACCTCATGATTTCCTCTTCAAAGACGTTATCTTAAAACAGAACTATTGCAACATTTATAAAGTCAGATCCAAATTAAAGGAATGGTTATACATACATATATGATTCGTTACAATTGTGGAATATCTAAAAATTTCTCATATACCAAGAAATTCATAATAAGCAAATAACCGTCATTATTAACATAAACCAAAGATTGGTAATTATTTGCTCACACGAACCCAAAGTTTTTGGATTTAATGGCCATCAGCATTTTACTACGTAAAATTGATTTGCTGGAATAAAGAGGGATATACAGTCGAGATATACAAGTGTTTGCAGTAGGAAGATGTGAGTCATCTGCAGGTCGTATGGTAACAGATGGTAGAGGCTGAAATCCTTCTTCTGAAGCTGGCAAAGCTGGAGATCCTGTCCAAAAATATACCTGTAATGGAAAAAAAACAGCAAAAGTATTTAAGCAAAAGTATTTTAGGTTAATTAAAAAATACTTACCAAATCTTGTCGCTCTAACGTATTCATTTTTTCCACAATACTCCAAAACCATCTTTTAAATTTTAAAAGTTTGTCAGGACCTTCACTTGATTCGTCATTAAAAGTTGTATAGGAAATCAGTGTTGAAACGTTGATATCGCCCACACCATTCAAGAGTAAACGTAAATCTTCAGCGGTCAAGCTGTTCATACAATTGTCTGGTAAGACATCAAAAATACCGTCTTTTAAAGCCTGTAAATTTATATATTAATGATTTGCAGACTTATGTTAAATTTGTAAACTTAACCTCGAGTGCCTTCTCTTGTGATTTAATGAGCCTATATTCCGTGTAACGCCTTATATATTCGAATATGTTATTTGACGTTACTGGCACATCGCGTCCGCCAGGGATTAATTCACGGTTGCCACAACCTTCTTCTTTCATCAAATCAATTCTGAAGAGCATGATCTTAGGGTAAATATAATATAATGGACAGGTTTCAGTACACTTACACAAAACTAAGCTCCATTCGGTTGATGGTTTCTTCTCCTTCTTTAGTTTGGGCATTTTGTATAATTTGTCTAAATGATTCATACAACGCTGGATCGAAGAAGGCAAGGTCATGAAATTTGATTTTTCGACCAAGCATGTACTTTAACACATGTCTTTGAAGGAACAGCGGGAGTAATTCATTTTGCAATAGACATAGCCCGATAAGCCTAGATAAAAACCAAAAATAAAATATATTTCGAATCCATGTGTCACTCATCTTGATCATCTTGTTCTAACCTGCCAATATTTCTAAATGCATTAATTCGTTCAAAAGACGCAAGCCCTTGTCGTGGGGTATAAAAGCCACGTTTACCCGGAGAGTAAAATAATGGCTCATTATCGTCTTCCATCGGTTCAACAAGTGCCGCAGATGGTGATTTTTTTTGTTGGCTTTGTATGTTTATTTCGGATTTTTGTTTAAAATTTATGATGTCAACGGCTTCGTTAACTTTTTGCCTTAGTGTCTCATCTGAAGACAGGACAGATAGTAGTTGAGGGGTTGGTATTTCCAGAAGCATGCCTGTTATTTTCGCTGCGTGCGATGAGTTTATTGAGTGGATCTAGACATATCAATTTATAATTTCTGTTTTTAAATTATAAAATATTTTACTAACCTTTGGATAGAGACGCTCGCCAAGTTGTTGGAGGTGGACAGATAAATGGTCGTTCGAGCTCTCCGTCGCTGTGTTATCTATATCAACATTAAATTTAAATAAATATGGTGCTCAACGGATATATTAATGGTGCAAGGTTTTAATATACCTCCATTGCTAGATGGGTTGTACGGTCTGGCATCGGCATTTAATGCCTTACGCTCCCGAGCTGTGCGCCATAATATTTTACTACCAGTTCCTCGCCGCTGCAGTGTGGGTGGATCACGACTTGAGGCAGAAACGGTTCTGCTACGCAGTATGCTTGAGAATGGTACCCCGTACTTACTATGAGTACCTCCCACTTGCACAGAATCGAGATTTGGCATTTTTGCACTGGCTAACAGCGCTTCCGAAATAGAAGTATAAAAGCTTCGCGCCACTCCTGATCCTTCACCTGGTTCATCTTTAAATGTCACCTTAACTCTGTTAAATGTAATGGGTGGCTGAGCTCGTCGATTTTGGGTTCCGAACTGAGCATTTAATTCTTTAAAAGTTTGGATAATTAAACTTTCTCTATTTCGTTCAAGTTTACAAAGAACCAAGTCGCGCTGTTGTCCATTTCGGAGCTTTTCCATATGTCTTCTAAAGCGCATTTCCTTAACAGGAAAGCCTCTCAATTCTGGCAATACAGATCCGTGTTCCATACCTACATCATCCATAAAAACACGTCCGAACAGATCAAGAGCCAGTTTCCATCGACTTAACAGAAAGTTCCACGATGGCAGTTCTGAAGTACTGCTCTTGTAAAACAAAGAGCCACGAATAGGAAACATTGCTGCCTGGGATGGTGCTTTTTCTCGACAATTATCACATTTTAGTTGTATTCCAGTAGCCGATGCATTTTTACATTCGGGCAAACTACTGTCATCCGATTCTAGTTTAAGAGTAGATGTTCCAGCTCGTACAATAACGCTTCGAACTGCTGATACTGATAAGGAGCTCTGTATTGGCACAACATCATCTGTAATACCAATGCGATTTTGGCTTGGTGCAATAATAACTTCTGGTCGAGTTGTTATTAAAAGATCTGTCGCTGTATTCGGACCTGCCATAACATCAATCATTTGTACATCCTCTGTATCCATGTTGTCTTTAACGTGTTGATTATCCAATCAATAAAAATTTAATATAAGATTACAGAAATTGAAAATTTATATTGTAAACAGAAGCAAAAACAGCTAAATTCGAAGATAACATTTTCTTGGTTAAGGAAACAAACAGCTTGGTGAAGTATATACGGAGCATATTAAAAATCATAAAATTTGATATTTTAGCGCTGTATACGATACAACTGCAATTGGAACTCGATTTATGTGTATGTATGTGTGTGCACATTAGAAATTATTGCTAGTTTATGCAAGTTGCCGCAAACTTGCTTGCCAATAAAACATCAAATGTTTTTTCTTCGGTTCTTCTTAACTTATCTTTAGGAAGTAGATCTAAATATGCTAAAAAATATTCTTTTGCTTTAAAAAGACAACTGCATTAAAATTGTAGCTTAAATTAGTGAGTCATTCCAATCGATTTTCTGGTTGGGTCAAAAGCTATAAAATAACAGATAATTAATCTGTGTATGCTAAACTCCTAAATGTCAAATTTACCAACTTATATTTTATCAATTACTTGGCAACGAGGAAAGCTATCGATTATCGGAAAGAAACTCGTACTGCACGGACAGGAGGACCTACATTAAAAATTTGACGCGCCTATCTCTTTTATTAACGCGTGCATGCATACGGATCAAGAATATATACTTAATGAAGTCAGAGATGCTATTTTTCAGCCGGTTACATACATTTGCAGAAAAACATACCCTTTTTACCCATTATCAATGGGTATAAAAAGACGACAACAAATATGGATACATTTTAAATGAGACGCCGGAATAAGATGACATTGTATTAATACCTGTTATATTGATATATTCACTGCTTTTACAGAAATTTTTGTATGTTACTTACATATGCTTGTATAGTTTTATTTGTTGAAGAATAATTTCTATAATGCATATTTTAATAATGTAATCAGTAAAATCGAATACATCGCAAAAGAAAATATGCACATAAAGACCAAGACATATGCTGTGTATATTTCTGAAAACTACAACTAGTTTCTATATTTTTGTAGGGATTATTAAACAAGGGGCTTAATTTTAAACTCCATTAATTTTTGTTCACCAACCACCTAGAAATTATTTGAGGATACGATTTTTTATAGTGTGGAACTGGTTTCTTGAAATCTACATTAGCGCACTAGAGTATTTTTACTGTACATTACTTTATATAATAATAAAGGGAAACCCTCCAAATCCATAATATATAAACATTCTTGATCCATAACAACAGATGAATCATTTCTATGCAACCTAGTATCTCAGTTTTCAAACTACCGTAATGAAACTTTGAATGGGACCAATTATATACCCTTGGGAATGCTAGGTAAAAATGAACATTCCGGTATACGAAAGCTTTTGGCTTCACGTAATGATAGGTAAAAAGTTACATTATGGTAAACGGAAACATTTGTCTTTAGTAATTTCTGAACCTACCAGGGTATTTAATATACCAACAATAGCTGGTTTTATTTGCAAATAGCTGCCAGATAATCTTAAAAATAAGCATATTCGTTTATTTACTTTAATGCAAAGTAATCTATGAGCTGATAGGAGATCTTGATGAAATTACAAACGCAGTACATAAATTTGAATGAAAAAACACTTACCTTCAGTTCCTTTCTGTAGTTTTAAGTCATCTAAGCCCTGTTTTTTCTTTAATTGAACGTAAATATTTGAATCTGCAGTGTCTTCGTCTTTATATGTTCTGCTGTCATCATTTATTTCGACCGTTTCTACATTATTTTCGTGTTCTGTAGTATGGTGAGTCACATCAATCGCATTTGCAGAAGCATCGGATTTCATAAAATTCGAGAATCCTAACCTTGTAGGAGGTTCGTCAATAGATCCCTGATGGCATATGTTACTTTTGACTGTGCTGTGTTTTACAGTAGTAACTGTATGCAGTGGAAGATTAGCAAAAAGTTCCTGTCGCTTTGAATTTGGCTGCAGTAAATGTGGTTTGTCAGCTAGTGGCATAGCCATATCAAGTGGAAGATCGAATCCTTCTGGTGCAGAGCAGCCCAAACTAAGAGTTGAGTCGGATCTGGTGAAGAATGCGGATTTGCGAATATTTATGTTGGACGACGAATTGGTAGGACACTGTCTTTCGGTGTTGGAATCTCCAATGTTGCATAATTCATCGTCAGTATCATCGGTTTCGACAAAATTCGATAAGTTATTTACTCGTCCAGAAATAGAATCGTTTTTATCGTAAAAGCTGGTATCATTGCGCATATAGTATATGAATGCATCAAGCACGTACGAAATATGCCGTAATGCTGTTATGTCTAATACCGGCAGTGCATCTCTATGCTCCGATGTGTGAGCGCGCATTAATGAAAGACAATATGTAAAGAAATCTCGTCGA